TGTAGAAACCCGTATCAAATCCCCATAACCCTCAAACCTCATAACTTGTGAAGATGCCTGGAAACCCTCAGCCCAACCTTAGACCCGAAACCCTCAACCAAACCCACCCTAAACCCTAAACCCTCGGACTAAACAGGCGCTTTTGGGTTGGCCTTGCCCTGTCGCCGGCGTCCCGAATGCGGCGGTCACCGAGCACAGGCGCTATTTCGGCTGATCCTAAACCCTAGACCGTTTTGGTTGTGGGTGTTCGTGGATCTTATTTTGGGAATCCTTTTTGTGGGAGGTCTGGAGGTCAAATTACGGTACACAGGGTTGTGGGAACATACCTGGCGCAAATGGGTATTCAAGTTTTATAGGGGGTTCAATTCGGCTTTTGTAAGCGTTTTATTTGGATATCTACGGCGTGTGATAAGGGCTATAACTCTCTGAGGTGGTAAAATGTGTGAAGGAGATGTGTGTGTGTGTGTGTTTTATGGCTGTTTTGGTGGTTAATGGGGTTTTAGACGGGTGTTGAGAGGGCTCCAAACGAGGTTGGGAGGCTTGCTTTAGTGGGGCGTTGTACGCTTGTTGAAACTATTGGCTTTATGCTTCATCTATTCTTGAAGGCGCACGGTATATACCTGGGGTTCGGGCCCTTTGAGTTTTGGGGTATTGGAGGCATTACGTTCAGGTTTTGGGTTTATCCAAAAAAGGGTTCCGGGTAGGTATTTGGAACTACATAGGTGGTGCCTGGGAAGTTGACGACTGTTGAGTTGAGTTAGGGGTTTGGGCTAAGCGGGTTCTCTTTAGTATAAAGGGGGGAATCTGAGCAAGTAAGGGTCTCAAACGGGATTCAGAGCTTCGGGGTTTAGGGTTTCGGGTGGGGTTTAGCTTTTGAAATTGAAGATGTACGGGGTCTTTCGGTTCTGGGATCAGGGTGCGTTGGGGGTTGTGGTTCAGGGCCGCTTGTTTCTCGCCTTCTCGTTGTCCGCGACGGAGAAGTTTGGGGTGTTGTTGTTTGCTTCTGGCTGCGGGCGTTTGAGATGTGATGTTCTTTTTGCCCTATTTCTCAATTCATCATGTGGGTAGTGTGGCAAAATTAGGACCCCCTTTTTGTCCCCAATATAGTACGGCACCCCCATAAAAAGGAGCCTAAAAGGGACCCTAATTTAGAAAACTACCCATGTTCAGGTCGAGACTCAAGCCTTCCTCCCATTTTGAACCCTACCCTAACCCCCAAGTACCTACTTTTTAGGGTACTAGAGCCCCTAGGGCCCTATATAGTAGGTACCTGGGGGGTTAGGGTTAGAGACACGGTCGAAGCTGGTACGGCGAGCAACGAAGGCGTCGTTTGGGTGCGCTACCGGCTGGTGAAAACGATTGGCAGCGACTTGCCGTTAATGTTCGAGGGAGATATCATAATCTTGCACACTTAACAGGTCGCGGGTGGCTGCGTTTGCGTGTTTTTCAGCTTGACTCGTCAGTTTCCCCGCATGGACGAACTAAATTGGGCAGTCCTGGTTTTCCAATAGTCTCTTTTGTGTTCACATTTCTGTCCTCTAGAGGCTTGCACGATTTTGAGAGGGTAATATGCAGCCATTAGCATATTCTATCGCATCGATCTAGCCACAGCATCTTGAAGACGTCACCAGGAGCGCCGGAGATGGAAGCACAATTATCGCTGTATGTGCTATGCGATATTTCTTGTTCGGCATTTGCAATTCGCCGTCACTGCTTCGCTCGTCTCAGCAGTTCATCGAAGCTAGAATGAAGCTAGAAACTCGAAACAAGCCCAAAACCCCAACCCTAAATCATAATGAAAATCTGATTCACTTGACGCCTCCAACAACTTTTGGAAATCCTCACGCTAAACCTGTTCGCAACACCTCACAGCTCGGCATCGGCACCCACTTCTGGATCCCAAGACCCCTTTCGGGTTTAAGGTTTAAGGGTAAGATTTCCTTTACACTTCGGGGGGCTAGGGGGTCTGAGGATTTAGGGCTCAGGGACGATTGAGGACTTAGGTTGAGTTAACAGCCTTTACAGTACAAGGATTAGGCATGTTTATGGCCCCTACACCCTAAACCCGAAACCCCTCAACCCTTTATGGCCTTGGGTTCTGCAGGAAGGACGAGGATTGCCTCGAGGCCGTCCGCGCAGCACGAAGGCCAGATCTGGAGATTTTGCCCGGAGATCAGGGATGGTTAGAAGGTTAAGGTTTAGGGCTTATAGTGGAAGCCCAAAAGTTGGAAACACACTAGCCTCAACCCTTAAGAGCAATGTATAGGGACTCCCAGCACTATTTGTCTTTAATCCGGTTTCCAACTTTTTGGGGTTCACTATAGAGTGGTGGTCTGGGGCTTTGTTTCGATTCATCTCTGGGGTGCCAGAAGTTTGGATTCAGATGCCGCGGTTGAAGAATGCTGTCTTGGGATTTGGGGTGTCAATATATCTTGCCCTAACCCCCCAAGTACCTACTATATAGGGCCCTAGGGGCTCTAGTACCCTATATAGTGGGCACTTGGGGGGTTAGGGTCTTACATCCCGCATTACAAAAGTAGCAACAGCCCCAGGAAGAATTTGTGGCGCAAAGCTGCCGGCGCGCTTTATGAGGCCAGCCCAACAGAATTCAGGGCTTCAGCGCTTAGGTTTTAGGATTTTAGGGGTTTAGGGTTAGGGTTTAGGGTTTAGGGTTTAGGGTTCAGGCTCCGATATGGACTACGAAGAATTGAATATTTCCTAATCGCCCCTGTATAACTATAGAGTATAACAATAGACCCGCAAACATCTATCCCAATCATGAAACCCCACATTACGTGGTGTGGGGCTCTTTACCAGAGGTTAGAGAACTGTTTCAGCCGGGGAGTTGTTTCAGAGACCCCGTAGGACCTGACCAGTCGTTTCAATGCATACACACGAAAAATATATGCAAAGATATGCCTACACACACATATATATATATATTCATAGCTATAGTACAGACACGTACATACATACATACATACATACATACATACATACATACATACACATACATACATACTTACATACATACATACTTACATACATACACGCATACACACACACACACATATATATATATATATATATAGATTTATTTGCATCATGCTCCCTGTTCCGCAGTTGGCCATCGTGGCCATCTTGCTGTCGAAGTTCGCCAAGAAAAAGCCTCCATGGCCCTTCAAGAAGCTGCCGCGCCCCTCGAAAGCGGAGAACAACATGGATTCGGGTACTGGCTGCGTAGTAAAAGAACGACGCGGTTCGTGTAAGCCGCGAATGGTTGCACAGCTCTGCGTTCTTGAAGCTGAGAAGCTTGGTCACCACTGGTCTGGCAGCTACACGTCAAGTTGCGCATGGGCATTGTTAGAAGCAGAGGGGTCCGAAGTTGTTACTTCAGAACTGCGCCAGCAACTCAAACTATGCTAGCTTCCTTCCATTCAGATGACGACATCGTCCGAAACCCCCGAGATCCTATTGGGCTATTATTTCTGGTCAGAAACCGACCAGCACACCCTCTCCATGTTCGCCGTTGCTCTTCAGCAGTTCCCCAACCCTGCCTTTGTTAGCTTCACGTTGTTATCCATGGAGCTTTTGTTCAGCAGGCCCTGCTAATGATGCCAAGCTGGAACCAGATGGAACAATGGTGGTCGAAGCAAGGGCTGACACAGCTGCAAATGCCAGTTACCCGCAGGCGTGAACGATTGAAGACACCCAGAATTATCACGGCCCGAAGGCCCTAAAGACCCGAATGCCAATGTGCGAGATTAAGGCGAAGGAAAGCATCACTCAAATCCGCTGCCCATGGGCGGGGACGACTTTGAGGCTGCGGCATTTTGGGTTTTGCTTGTCTTTCTTGCTGCCTTTACCGTCTGATACTTGGAGAAGCGAGACATGCCTAGATCCTGCATTTTGCATTTCACCTACACGAGTAAATGTGGATGCTCTGATGTCAACTGCAAAGCCAACGACCTAACCGTGAATTCTAAGAAAGGAGACCTGCTTTGAGATGCTTTGGGGCCTTGGGAACCAGGGACATGGCACAGTGATGAGAGTTGTGAGAACAGAAGACCATGCGACATTCCTGGTGGCGATAGCGACAGCGGCGGCAGCAGGAAGAATAGCATCAGAAATGGCACGGCGCCAGCAGCGACCGCAGCAGCCGCAACGACTGCCACCACCGTAATCACCACCAGCACCGCTGCCGCCAAACCCAACATAAACCAACACAACCGCCACTGTGCCCACCACCACCAACAGCAGAACTCCAATAGCAAAAGGATCCAGCTGCGACCACGACTGCTTCGACGATGACACACACACACACACACTCATTGTCTTCATCCTCTCCTTCACCCCAAGCAAAGGCAGCACCATTTCATCATCACCATAGTGAGCATATCCATCATAACCACCACCAGCATCATTACCACCACGAAGCCTCCGTCACCATCGTACCAACGAGTGTCCTCACGCAACCAAACCAACACCTGGACGATTACATGGATGAAGGCCCCAGTGGCTACAGCCTCTTCAAGCTTGGACATAGTAGTCAGAAGAGGAATCTCACGATGATCGACAAAAAGTGGCTTCGTGAAGGAAACCAGGGACAGTATTTCAGTTCTACCGACCAGGCTGATATGCATGCGACAAAAAACGCAGACCTTGCAACATCAACCCGTGCTCCGACCGAAACCCCAAGACACACCAACTACAAACCTTGACCATGTGATATGTTCTGCTTTTCCTAGAACCCCATCACGACACCTCTGAAGCCCCCAAAACCAGGGCTTTGCTCGAAATTTCGAAACTTGCTTGCCTGAAGCCCTATTAGAACCTGCCGCCCTGAGCACCCCAGACTTGTCGCTTATCTCCCCTTCGCCCCGGAACTATACCTTAAGAACCCAAAACCT